AGGTCATTAAAGGATGTCATGAATTACTGGATTAAACCTAAAAGTATTAGTTCCACCACACACACAAGAAACTAATGTAAATGTGAAGCTGAAAAAGGAACAATTTTAAATGAAAGAATTTGGAACTTGGATATTCCCTTGAATGACTTCTTATAACGTGAATGTTTGTTAAGCCTTCACACCATTATAAGATTATCTAGAATAGATCCTGGAGAAACGATGAAAGGGCTTGTTTCTTTGTCCAGGATTGTTTTCAACAGAGATTTCTCTTAGTAAGTAAGTAAAATTTTATTTATAGAGCACCTTTCACAGAAACAAATTCACAAGGTGCTGTATCATCATAAAACAATATCAGAAAACYACAATAAAACATTAGTAGAACAAGACAGACATTTCCATCCCAAAAGTGGTCAGTAACAGCACTAAACACACAAGCAAACAAAGTTAAAAATATAAAAATACTAAAAGAACACACAGGCACTAGGCTCACTTGAAATTAACAAGGCCAGTTTAGCTGAACGTTTGTTTAAAGGGGAGGGTTTTCAGACCCTCCTTCAAAGACTCAATATATCAGTGAGAGAACTCAGAGGAAAGGGCAGAGCACTCCAAAGACTCGGAGCCATAAAAGAAAAAACGGTCACCACAGGTTTTGAAACGAGTCTGAGGAACAACTAAGAGATTCTGATCTGGAGAACGCAGGCAACAAACTGGATTGTAAGAGGAGAGCAAGTCCTGAATATAGGCAGGTGCCTGACCTTTTAGAGCTCTAAAAGTAAGGATCAGTGTCTTAAACTGAATCCTAAAGCAAACAGGTAACCAGAGAAGTTCAACCAGGATTGGGGTAATGTGAGTGAATTTAGATGTGAGTTCAAAGCCTGGCTGCAGAGTTCTCAGAGCTCGTAGCTACCACCACACAAAATGTCAGCCTGCTAGCTCTTCAAATAGCAGAGTTATTGCAATTTCAAATTCTCTCTGGTGGCCAGCWACAATTTTGATTTAGCATTCAGAATTTGTCAAAACTTGTTTTTGGCTACTATTAAACCAGCCTTTAGCTCTGTAAGTCTTAAAACAGGTTGAAGTAGCCTTTTCTAAACTTAGCATTACTTCCAGTAGCATTCAGAATGTGTTGAGTTAGCTCTCGGCTATCAACCCACCAAATTTCAGCTTCAGTTTTTTTTGGGCCACTTTAAAATGTTCTTTTGTTCCTTTCAACTTCTTTGTGCCCCTTTCAACTAGTGCCATTTAGTGTAGTGTCGGTACGGTTCGGTACAGTTCCAAGCCATTTCCATTAGGTCAGATTCATGGAACCAGCCCTTTTTTAGTACCTACTTCATTGTGGATCCAAGTGGTCCCAGCTGACACCAGAATGCGATGTCAGAACACTGTTTGTCACTGATTGGCTAGAGGGTGGAGTCACTGGTTCCATCTAAGCTGCCTTTACAAGAACAACTCAAGGAACCATTTTTTTCCCAATTGTAGCAGTGACATTAGTCGTGGTTCCATCCAATTTTAATTCAAAATTTTTGCAGTTTTTTTAAAATTTCAAAAGTTATTCATCAAATGTGTTTCCAGCTCTCATTTTGCCCATAAACTTTTTTTTTCAAAATAACCTAAAAACCACCTCCACCAACCGCCCAAAACACACCCACTGGAACCGGACTGGAACGTCACTGGAAAAGCAGCTGAACTGACCTGTTCCGACACTGATCGTACCGACACTGATCGTACCGACACTGACCGTACCAACACTGACCATACAGACACTGAGCGTACAAACACTGACCGTGCCGACACTGAGCGTACTAACACTGACCGTACCAACACTGACCATACCGACTGACCGTGCCGACACTGAGTGTACAGACACTGAGCGTACTAACACTGACCGTACCAACACTGAGCATTCCAACACTGACCGTTCCAACACTGACCATACTGACACTGAGCGTACCAACACTGACCGTACCGACACTGACCGTTCCAACACTGACCGTACCAACACTGACCGTACCGACACTGAGCGTACCAACACTGACCGTTCCGACACTGACCGTACCGACACTGAGCGTACCAACACTGACCGTACCGACACTGAGCGTACCGACACTGAGCGTACTGACACTGAGCGTACCGACACTGAGCGTACCGACTGACCGTACCGACACTTGAGCGTACTGACACTGAGCATACTGACACTGAGCGTACCGACACTGAGCGTACCGACACTTGAGCGTACCGACAATGAACGTACCGACACTGAGCGTACCGACACTTGAGCGTACTGACACTGAGCGTACCGACACTTGAGCGTACCGACACTGAGCGTACCGACACTGAGCGTACTGACACTGACCGTACCGACACTGACCGTACCGACACTGACCGTACCGACTCTGACCGTACCGACACTGACCGTACCGACACTGAGCGTACCGACACTGACTGTACCGACTCTGACCGTACCGACACTGACCGTACCGACACTGAGCGTACCGACAACTGACTGTACCGACACTGAGCGTACCGACACTGACCGTACCGACACTGACTGTACCGACACTGAGCGTACCGACACTGAGCGTACCGACACTGACCGTACCGACACTGACTGTACCTGACACTACACTAAGTGGCACTAGTGGAAAAGGGGCTAATTTTGTCCACTTTTTTCTTCTCATTTCTCCTTTTAAGTTTACGTTCTTCAGCTCATTTCAGCTTATTCTGGGTTCCACTTCAACTGGTCAAATTCAGCAAGCATTTGTTTATACAGTGGGGAAAATAAGTATTTAGTCAGTCACCAGTTGTGCAAGTTCTCCCACTTAAAAAGATGAGAGAGG